GGCCTGGATTTGGGCGACGCGGTGCGCGCTGATTGGCGGGCAGCATGGCTCGATCCGGACGCAGCCGGCTGGCTCAGCCAAGGGCAGCCCAGCCCAAAGCGAATCGGGCCAAGCACCGCTCGCAAGACCTGAGCCCGCAAGACCTGAGCACATAGCGACTCTGTATTGCACATCTTTCACTCACTGGGCACATGGATGCCGCACAGGGCGCGATCGGTATGCAAGTCGCGTCCCGTTTCGCGGAATCAAGTGAGCCATATAGCGCATTCAAATGTTGGTGCAGTCGCCCCTCCACAAAACAGCATATCCACTTGCCGAGCGACACTCTCCACGAAGCAATCGGCCTCGCCCCGCGCTGCAGCCCATGCGTCCTTGACCCGCACCATCAGCTGGTGCAGCAGCATCACATTGGCATCCCGGTATGGCTGTGTCCGGGCAGGGACAGAGGCGCAAAAGCGCACAAGCATAGATCGGTCCTGCGACGAGACAAGAGAGCCTCGCCTGAGGCAGCCCGGGACAGCGCTAGCACAGGTGCGAGACGCCAACGCTGTCCCTGCCATTGAAGAGCTTTGCGGGTGTCGACAGGGCCTTCTTCTGGGTCATCTCGACGTTTGTCGGAAGGGTGACGATGATGGAGCGGTCATTTCCGTACTGGAAGTTGTCCGAGACAACGCTTTCCGAGTAGAGCTTGATACCGTAGTCGTAGAGCTTGCCCTGCTTGACTCGGCGGAAGTTCCAGGTGACGACATAGGGGCCTGTCGATGTGACGATGAAGCGCTCCTCGCCGTCGCCGCAGTTGAACTTTGCGGGGGTGAAGTTTGGGGCTCCAATCAGGGCCATATGCTCAAGCTTGAGCTGGAGACGCTTCGGCGGGTTGCGGTCGTTGACGCCCATGGGCTTGTTGAAGCCGATGGAGCTTGTGTTTGTCTTGAGCTGGGTGTCGAGCACCAACAGATACGACTTGCAGGTCGCGACGACGTACCGGCCATCATCGCTAACGTCGATGCCGATGATGGGATCGCCGATGCCGGGGAACAGCGTCTTGGCCCGGGTCGAGAGCTTGTTGTACAGGCGGATATCGCCGTTGGTGCTGGCCATGGCGAGGGCCCCGAGGTTGTTGGTGGCACCGCAGGTGAAGCCCGTCTTGCTGTCGTACTGCTTGGTCTCGGTGTCGACGCGCTTGTTGCCAGACAGTCGCGGGTCAATGCGGAAGATGGCTTTGCTGTTGTGGCCCAGCAGCGTCTTTTCGGGGGTCATCTGCGCGTACTTGCTGACGGGCAGGATGTTGAGCACGGGCATGTATTCGTCCACCTTCCATTCCTCCACAACCTTGCCGCGCTCCAGGTCCATCCGATAGACGGTCGAGGACTCGTTTTCTTTCATGAGCAGCAGCGACGAGTCTTGCTCGTGCAGAACGGCCTTGGCCGGGGTGAAGTGTTCATTGCCGAGGGTGCGGATGTTGTTGATGGTGGTTTTGTGCTGCAGCTGGTCGTCGTCCGTATATCCAAAGACGCCGAGCTTGTCTCCACGGACGACATACGATTGGTTGCTGCTGTATCCAACGACCAGGGAGCTGTTGGTATCCTCGGGTTTGGCGAGGCCGCGATATGAGTGGTGCTCCTTCCCGCTCCGCAAGGACTTTGCCGCACCCTCCTCAGTGTCCTCCTCGTCGTCGTCGTCACCGTCTTCGGTTTCCTCGTCGTCCTCATCGGAAGCCTCGCTGGGCTCGTAGCTATGGCTCACCAGCCGTCTCGGTGTCTCGGGCTGGGCCGACGCACGGCTGAGGTTGAGTCGCTCGAGTTGTTCATCCAGCTCCGAAGGCTCGGGTTCGCCCAGGAATTCGGGTTCGCATTCCTCTGGCGACAAACCCTCCTCTTCCTGCTCCTCCTCCAGCGAATTGTCGGTATAGGCGTGCATCAGATAGCTTTGGTCCGTGGTGCTCAGGGGTGCTCTGTGCTTGCTCTCGTAGCAGGCGGTGACGACGAGCTGGTAGAATTCTTCAAAGTGTTCGGGCGCGGCAAAGGTAATCTGGAAGGAGTAGACGGGCTGCAGGCTGACGGGATCGTACCAGGCCCAAATAAAGGTGTTCTCCTCGGGGCGGAAGGTGAGGTTCATTCTCTCGTCAATGACCTGGCTGATCAGCGGGCTGTCGTTCTCGGAGATAAGGAGGTGGTATTGGAAGCGCTCGGGCTGGATGATCTGGATGTGAGCGGAGGCAAGCATTTCTCGGAACTGGCTGATTCGGCCGTCGTAGACATGGAGTGACGCATTGGTGCTGAGGACCGATTCGCCCTGAGGGACGCTGTGGAGCAGAGACTGGGTTTGCTTGGTGGCCGTGGGTTTGGGCGGAGGAACCTTGGGCTCTGCCTTGACCGACGAGGTGTCTGACTTTGACGACCGCGAAGGCGTCCCCTCGCGATAGGGCTGACGGGCCTTGGACGGAGTAAGCGGGCCCGTGCTGATGGCCTGCGCCTTGAGGTTCTCGGCATAGGTGTGGAGCAGCTCCGAGTCAACCTGCAAATAGTCGGTCTGGTGCCCGGCCTCGTAGATGCAGTTGTAGACGGCCGACTCGAAGGTCTCCAGCAGGGTCGACGACGTGTTGATGTCGGTCGAGAACTCATACCCGGAGCGCCCGCTTTCGTCGGTCGGATCGAGCCATGAGAAGATGCAGGGGGACTTGCCGCGCTTCTGGAACATCATGCCCTCGACCAGGGCAAAGGTTCGCTCGTCCTCGACGGACTCGGCGAGTTCATCCTCGTTGACGAGATTGTCCTCGCCCTCTTCAAAGACCCGGGTGACGACGAGCTGGTACTGGTGGGGGATGGAGGTCTGGCGGATGCAGATGTCGCAGTCCTTGAAGACGCATTGGCGGTAGTTTTTGGCGGGATGGATGTGGAAGAGCTGGCCGGACGGGAGCTGGACAACCTTGGAGGATGACGAGCCCCAAATGATGGATTTGAGGGTCGAGACCAAGAACATGGTGGTGCGATGCAGCGATTATCGCAGAGCAGAGAGGTGCCGAGAGGTGCCGGGGATGCTGGGGGATGCTGAGGGACTCTGAGGGATGCAAAGACAAGCCACGGGCGGGGTGCTGGCGGCTGATGGAAAGGCAGGCTGGACGGAAGGCGGAGGTGCAGCCCGAGGACAGAACTCATCTGTCCCGAAAAGGACATAGTGGAACACGTGACATATGTGTGAGCACACGTGACAAGTGGCTGACGATCTTGGATGGGCCAGCGGATGTGGGGTGCTGCCAGCAAGCGATGGCGAGCAGGATCAAAGCAGCTGCCAGCCGACCCTCTGAGGCGAGAGGGCGTCGCGGACACTTGCAGAGGCAGCTCGCCGCGACTGGCCGAATCCAGCCAATGAGCAGCGGCGTCGCCCGTGGAGCGGGAATCTGGTGGCGGTCGGAAGGCGCAGCCAATCGCACGGCGTGGCGTCGAGCACGGGGCCGTGTGCGACCGAGCTTCGGCGGGATCGGGCGAGGGGGCGGCGATTGTGTTCTCGGTTGGTCTCGACTGCGCGCCGGCGCCAGTGGATGCATCGCGCCGCACGGTCGCCGGGCCACTGGCGCGGGTCCCCCGTGGCATCGAGCCGCAGTCCGGGGCCCGCGTGTCGGTCGCGGCGACAGCAAGGGCCCGTGCCACGACCACGCCGCCAGGACGCAGCACAGGGCTGTGTTGCTGGCGACACAGGCCGCCATGCCCGCGCGCCGGTGGTTTGCCGTTCCCGCGGCCTGGCCCGCTGCCAGGCTCGATGCAGAGCACATGGCCCCGGTGCGATGGCATCAGCAGGGCGACGGTGCCGCCCTTTCCGTGTGCATGCGCTCGTCGGCATCGCAGCCCGCCACCACCAGCATGCCATTAGCTGGCATGGATTTGTCTTGGACATCTTTTCGCATGGGCCGCCTTAGAGAATATACAAACTTTTTTTTCCTGTGGGTTTATTGAAGATGGCCGTCTGAACACATGCAGCAATGTTTCGTTTTTCGAGGTTTTGCAGTTTTCGATCTGGTCCGATATCGGTCGGCGAGTGTAGATGTATGGAGAGCCAGCAGACTGCTGGCAGTATGCGATCTAGCGAAAGTATGAGGTCTTGATGGTCAGTCATCAATCTTGAAGAGGTCCGAGGGGTGGAGCATCGAGCTTTCGTTTTTGATTTCGGCAGGGAGACGAGTTGACGAGTTGGATACTCGGGGGGTCCAGGGGCCAGCGTGACCGCCAAGAACAGGCGCGCGAGTGTCGCAATCAGTCGACGACTGCAATAAATAGGATCTTAAGTTAATCGAATCGGCAGGCGGGGAGGACGGGAGGAGCTTGAGGTTGTCGAGGCGGGGGGGAGGCAAGGAGGTTGAGCGAGGGTGAGGCGGATTGGATATAGGAAGCGTGGCTGACCCAAGACGAAAAACGAGTCGAGGGAGGGCAGGAGAGGGGAGGGAATCAAACGGCTTCAAACGGATTTCACAGTTCAACAATCGCTGGGGAGAGGAAGGAGACTACTCTAAAAAAAAATAACTCCTTCCAGGAAAATCAGGACGATGGGAATACAGGATAAATAAGGATTAAGCATGTGCAGAGCACGACCAAGCGCAACGGCGTGTCTGCAGCGGGGAAGGGAGGGGGAAGCGAAATCGCCTAGGCGGCAGAGCATGGGGGAAGCGTATCGGGAAAGCCCGGTCTCCGTTGAGCGATACATCAATCAATCGCAAGGTGTAGCCGGACAGCCTTGGAGGGGAAGGGGGAAAGACGCAACATGAAAGAACAGGAAAGCACAACAGCCGCCAAAAGCTGTATTCCAATCAAAAAGAAAAAAAAAAAAAAGAGCAAGAAAGAGCGAGAAAGCGACGGGGGACGGGAGACGGTAGATAGGGAACGAAAAACGGACAGCAAAAGGCGAGGGGGTCAAGAGCAGAAGAGCGAGCGGCAACAAAAAGATGGCGGGAACGAGGCAAGGAGAGATCGAATCCAGGAGTATGCGGTACGCTGCAGCCTTTGGCTTGCTCAGGCTGGCGACACGCTGAGTATGGACTCGTCCAGGATGATCCCTAGAATCTTCTTTGCCCTTTCGTCGCCTCCGTCGGCCAGGATCTTCAACTGTGCCTCGCAGTTGTTTTCTCCGCCGTTTTCTGGCGACTTGACGTGCCGTCCGAGGGCGTCGCGGCGGGCAAAGGATTTGCCACATATTGGACATGTATGCGGCTTTATCCCTCTGTTGGAAAGCGAGCGAAGCAGGCAAAGTAGAGTATGCCAAGGACAGACACGGTCAGGTTCGGTCAATGTGGCGGTCGACTGGAGGAAGGGAGTCCCCCCTGAGAGCAATCGTATGAGCAGCATGGGCACCCAAGGAGAGCCAGCCAGGCAATCTGGCTCTTTGATGCAGCAGAGCGATACATACTGATGCAGCTTGACGTGGCGCTTGAGGTCGTTTTTCCGGGCAAAGGACGATTTGCAGTACTCGCAGCCGTACGGCCGCTCGCCTGTGTGGCTACGGTAATGTGACTTGAGATTGTACGGGCGGGTGTAGACTGTGGAGGGGATGGGCAAGGAACGGTGACGGATTAGTCTGACGGCTCGACGTGGTGGGAGACGGACATGGCCAACGCTTTCGACGCTGGCAGACCACTCATTCATCTGGATACACTTGGATACATCTGAATGTGTCTGGATACACCTGAACATGTCTGGATATACATGGGCCCGTTTGATATCCACTCCACACAGGCGCGCGGCGATGGCACTTACGCTTGTCGCAGCCGGGGAAGGGGCACTGGTACATGACCGTCTTGTGGGTGGCTTTGGAGGATATGCTGTCCGAGAGGGTGCTGAGCAGCTCGTCCGTCATCTTGATCGGGATCGGTGGCGGCATCGACTCGGCCGAGAACAGCTGGTCGGCAGAGGCACCAAGGCCGTCCTGGACGCCGAGAGAGTCGAGCGACGGCATGTTCTCGCTTATCATCGTCGCGGCCCGCAGCGACGACTCGGAGCGCGCCGGCGAAGTGTTGCGCGAGGAGAGCTGGGAGGGAGAGAGCCGCTGGTTGGGCGAGATGCTCCGGGTGCGGCCCTGGAGGCCAGGGTAGGGACCATAGTCTTCGCGGCGGGACGATGAGCGCTGGCTCGGGCGGAATCTCAGATCCGGCGTGGAGCAGTAGTCCTGGGCGATCAGGTAGCCTTTTTGGTCGGGGGACGAGTAAGGGAAGGTCGCCAGGCTGGGGTCGTCTATCGGTATTGACGAGTCGAAGCCGTGGCCAAGGTTGATGCTGTGCAGGTGGTCATCGTGGGTGGCGTCGGACACGGAGCCGTTGTGGTGGTCGTGTGCGAACGAGTCCTGGAAGTTTACGAGCCGGTGCTCGAAGGAGCCGTCGTAGAAGGGTGACGAGGGCGAGACGGAGGGCGAGTGGCTGCTGTAGAACGAGACCGGCGAGCCGAACGAAGTGCCGGTGGGCGACGGGATTGTTCCGATGGCACCGGAGGGAACGGTGAGGATGTAGTGCTCCTGGCCGGGTTGGGCAAAGGGCGAGGCAACATAGACAGGACCTTCGGTTGAGTGGGCCAAGGTGACGTTCCTGATGGATGGGCGAAAGCAGAGGCGGGTAAGCATGACAGAAGGGAGGTGTAAGGAGTGAACAAGCGCAAGGACGAAGACCAAGTGCTTGGTATGAGCTTTATTAGCTTTTAGCCCCGAACACCAAAGAACAAGTTTTGTTCGAACTGGTGTTCAACATAGGCTCAGACATGCAGGGTGTGAGGACCACGACAAGCAACGACACTGGACGACCAGGTGCTTGGCGAACAACGATAAGCTATATTACGACTTATCAGATAACAACAAGTGTTGTTCGAACTGCAGATACAAAATGGGTGCAAGAAAGGAGGGGCTTTATAGCCAAGAGGGAAACCGAAGGGCGAAAGTGGGCGAGAGGGGTGGAGCGACAAACGAGGGACGAGATGGGGGTGCGAGGGAGGCGGAGCTGCTAGAGAGAGGGGCGAAGCACAGCGCAGTCGGAGGCGAAGTAAGAGTCATCGGCGCCAGCCAATCAGGGAATACACGCCAAGACAAACAAACATGACTCACGGTGCATCACGCGCAGCAGTCCACACGTGTTCCCAACGTGCATGATCATCACATCATCCCCTCCCCAAACTACGGCCACTCCTGCGAACAATAAGTCCAGGCTTGTCGGGGTACCGGCGGTGGAAGTCGGCTATCTTGTCGGGAGCGTTAACGTAGTTGGCGGGCTCCCAGCTGCGATGATCAGTCGAGTAGCCCTTCCAATCAACGAAATAGCTCAACTTACCGCGGACCAGCTTGGAGTCGAGGATCTCCTGGACTTCATACTCCAAGTGGTCGTCGACGCGGACTGGCGGAGGAGGGTCTTGGATGCGGCCGGGGAGGGTGTTCGACTTGTGGGGCTCAAGGAGGGAGACATGGAACACCGGATGGATCTTGAGATCCTTGGGAAGGTCGAGGCGGAAGGCGAGGGAACCGATGGCTTCGACGATCTTGTAGGGTCCGATGCGCTGGTAGTCCAACTTCTTGCTTGGACGGGTGGTCTTGATGTTGCGTGTTAGGACCCAGACTTGATCGCCAGGAGCGAACTTGGGAGCGTCGGACTTGTGGGCATCCGCAAAGCGCTTGTAGTCCGCCTTGGCCTTCTCGAGGTTCTCCTTCAGCAACGCCAAGTTGTGCTGAAGGTGTTCGACTCGGTCGGTCGCGGAGGGGACATCGAGGCTGGAAGGAAGGACCGGAGACTCGAATCGAGGGTTGAAGCCGTAAGTCGCCAGGAACGGGGAGGCCTTGGTCGAGGTGTGCTCGAGGTTGTTGTATGAGAACTCGGCGAGCGGGAGCAGCATCGCCCAGTCATCCTGCTGGTACGAGGTGTAGCAGCGGAGATGCTGGTTGATGACTTGGTTGACCCGCTCAGTCTGTCCATCGGTTTGGGGGATGGAACGCCGTGGACAGACTGGTCTTGATGCCGAGTTCTGAGCACAGGGCCTGCCAGAACCGCGAGGTGAACTGGCTTCCTCGGTCCGAGACGATGTTGTCCGGGAGACCGTGGAGACGGAAGATGTTGTCGAGGAACAGCGACGCTGTTTCCTCGGCACTTGGGAGGGACCGACAGGGAAGGAAGTGGGCCATCTTGGTCAGGCTATCGACGACGACAAAGATGCAAGTCTTGCCGTTGGACTCGGGGAGGTCGGTGATAAAGTCCATCGTCACCAGAGACCAGGGTCGCGATGCCGTCGGGAGGGGCTGCAAGTATCCAAACGGCTTATGTCGAGGGACTTTCGAGCGTGCACAAGTGTCGCACGTCGAGACATAAGCCTGGACATCCTTGCGGATCGAGGGCCACCAGAACTGCCTCGAGATCAGTGCTCGAGTCCGCCGAATGCCAGGATGTCCAACAGCGACAGGATCGTGGCATGACTTGAGGACGGGGACTCGACACGACTCTGGCACAACGATCTTGTCCATGAAGGTGAGGAGATCCATCCTTCAGGACATACTTGGGATCGTTGCGGAGCTGGTCCAGGGACGGGTCCTTTGGTTGCTCCTCGGCAATGAGCTTGAGCAAGTCCACAGGGCGAGTGGAACTTGCATCCGAGGAGCGACGGACGGCACAGGCGAACGACGAAGGTGGCAGCAACGGGGGAGGCTCCTTGGACACAGGTGCGGACGGAGGGACGTAGTCCGGGCGGCGGGAGAGAGCGTCGGCCTTGCCGTTCTTTGGACCGGGGAGGTACTGGATCCGGAGGTCGAACCGAGACAGGAACTGCGACCACCGGGCGTGTCGCTGGTTGAGGATGCGGGCCGACGCCAGGTATTCCAAGTTCTTGTGGTCGGTAAGGACTTGGACTGGGTGTTGGGCGCCTTCGAGGTAGTGTCGCCAGACCTCGAATGCCTCCTTGATGGCCAAGAGCTCCTTCTCATAGATGCTGTAGTTGCGTTCAGCATCCATGAGCGTGCGGGAGTGGAAAGGAGCACGGGTGCAGGTGGCCATCGGAGCCGCGCTGGGACAGGACGCATCCGATCGCAAAGTCTGAGGCATCAGACTCCACGACAAAGGGCTTGGATGGGTCGGGGTGCGCAAGGACGGGCTCGGAGACGAAGGCTTCCTTGAGGGACTGGAAAGCCTTGTGGGCGTCGGGGGACCAGCGGAAGACCTGGGACTTCTTGAACAGGAGCGTGAGCGGACCGGCGATCTTGGCATATCCGTCAATGAAGCGACGGTAAAAGTTCGAGAACCCAATGAAGGAGCGAAGGTCGGAGACATTGCGGGGGACGGGCCAGTCGACAATGGCGGAGAGCTTTGCTCGTTCCATCTCGATACCCTTGGGCGAGATGACGTAGCCGAGGAACGAGACCTTGTCCTTGGAGAACTCGCACTTCTCCAGCTTGCAGTACAACTTTGCAGCCTGGAGCTTGGCCAGGACCTGCTTGACGTGATTTGCATGCTGAGTGGGGTCAGCGCTGTAAATCAAGATGTCGTCAAGGTAGGCAATCGCAAAGTTGTCCAGCTCCTCACGAAGGACATCGTTGATGAAGTGCTGGAAGGTGGCCGGAGCATTGGTGAGTCCAAAGGGCATCACCAAGTACTCGAACTGGCCGTAACGAGTGCGGAAGGCCGTCTTCCACTCGTCGCCTGCGCGGATACGCAGCAGGTTGTAGGCCCCGCGGAGGTCCAGCTTCGTGAACACCTTCGCGTCCCGGACTCGGTCCAGCATCTCGTTGATCAACGGTAAGGGATAACGATTCTTGACCGTGATCGTGTTCAATGCGCGATAGTCCACGCAGAGACGCAGAGAGCCGTCCTTCTTCTTGACGAAGAGGATCGGGGAACCGGCGGGAGAGGACGAAGGACGGATGAACCCTTTGACGAGGTTGTCGTCGAGGTATTCACGAAGGGCCTTGAGTTCGGGCTCTGACAGGGAGTAGAGTGGTCCGAACTTGGGGGTCTTGCCGGGCTCCAGGTCGATCGGGCAGTCGTACGTCCGGTGCGGGGGCAACGAGTCGGCTTCCTGCTTCGAGAAGACTGAGCCAAACGACTTGTACTCCTCTGGGATCGACGTCGAGAGGGGCGTCGGATCCGGATCGGTGGCAGGAAGGACGAGGACTTGGAACACAGTCAGGGGGTCGGGGCTAGACTGTGTGTCGAGGACGGACTGCTCCAACGACTTGTACCTGATCGCTTGGACACGGACAGGAGCGGGGCTGGGAGCAACGGGACCGGGGAGACCAGGACGGACGGAGACGAGACCGGAGGGACCAGGACGAGCAGCACAGGAACAGGGCACCTCACTCGGAACACAATCAGAATAACGTTGAGCGATCACTTTATTCTGATCATCTTCGCGAGTACAAACGGTGCGAGGCGAAGAAGCGAGCACCACAGTGGTGTCGGTAGAGGCACGAGGGAAAACATTGGGTGTGTCGCCAACAAGAGGAAGGGGAGAAGGAGAAACGGAAGAAACGGAAGGGAGGGAAGAGGCATCCACAACCTTGAGGATGTGGTTTGCAGGACGGGGAAGGCAAAGGAGTCCACGAGCCCAGTGGAACCTGGGTTCGATGGACTGCAGCCAGGGATAGCCAAGGATAACAGGTTGGTGGGGAGACTTAATGACATCAAAGGAAAGGTGTTGAGTGTAGTCCCCAAGAACAATCTTGAGGGGTTCCGTCTCAAAAGTGATGGGGCCGGAAGAAAGTGGCTGGCCATCGACACCTTGGACAGGGAGGGGAGTGGATTTGGAAACGAGGGGGACCGAGAAGCGGTCAACAAAGCTCTCGTCGATGAAGTTGCCGGAGGCACCAGAATCGACGAGAAGTTGGCAAGAGAGGGAGCGACCAGAAGGGAGAACAAGAGAAGCGGAAAAAACGGGAGAAGACGAAGAAATCGACGAGACGCACGAAGAAGGCTCGGAGCAGAGATCAGTGTCGGCAGCATGGTTCGAGCAGATGACCAAGTTCGCAGGTGGTGTGGAGATCGGGAGCTCTGTCAAAGACATCTGGGAGCCAGATGTGCCCTTAGAAGAGGCGGGTTTGACAGAGTGCGATCCACCACCGACTACATTGATCATTCCACACATAGCCATGCGTTCGACACTTACCTCATGCTCCTTACCATCGACGCTTGCTTCTGGAGGAAGGGGAGACGGCTCCAGATCTAAGCCTCCACTTAGATCTGGGCCTGGTCGTTTCCCGACTCGAAGTGTTCCTCCTCACCATCATCGTAGACGATGGTTCGGACAACCTTCGAACGGGGACGGGAGCCGGGAGCCTGAGGACGGGAGCCGGGGAAGCGGGAACCAGAGGCGGGAGCACGGGAGCCGGACTTGAGGGGGCAGGACTTGGCGACGTGGCCGGGCTTGCCACAGCGGAAGCAGAGGCGCTCCTGGAAGCGGCGGTTCTTCTCCTCGGGGGTCAGGCGGCTGACGACGGCGGCGTCGATCTGCATCGGCTCGGAGTAGAGAACCGGAGGCTCCTGGGCGGGCGGCTGGAAGGACGGGGTGCGGGAGTTGAAGGCCTGGGTGCCGAAGGAAACAGGGCCAGTGTTTCGGAGCTCGTTGTTGAGCTCGATGATGCGTGCATCGATCTTGAGGCAA